AAGCTCCCACCCAGGAACTTTGTGGAAAAATTAATTACCTTCCCAGGGTGCCCTTAGCAGACAATACTTTCCTGTTCATACTCACTGACTCTGAATATATAACAAGAAAGATTTCATTAAGTGACATAGCACTAACTGGGGAAAACAGCAATTATTTTATATATAATTAGAAGATTTACCTGGCATTGCTTGGGTCCTTAACTTATTTTTTGTTTTTCTTCATTTGAATCATTGCTCTGGGATGGGGCTGAGGATGAGGAGTTCAGTATTCAGTCTTACCTGTGGAGAGGGCACTACCACAGTCCTCTCTTATTGCAGCAGCTTGGAACCAGATGAGAAGCATCTCTCCACAGCTGCTGCAGCTCCAGGGGGCACAGCCAGGGAAGGGGTGCATGTCCTCTGGCCGGGGCAGGTCCAGGTTCATCTACCCCCTGTGCTCCTCAGCAACACACTCGGGAATGAAGCAAACTGTGTATTTTTCCCTCACTCCCTGATGAAAGCGAACAGCCAGTAATGTTCCTGTATGAAATCAGTGGAATAGTCAATTAGCAAACGTCCTTTTAAAACACCATTCTGCCCTTTCCCCGTCAATACACCCTACTTAGCTTGGTGTCAGTGGTTAATGTAGTCCAAGAAAGAGAACCTGGGAAGGCCTGTCTCTGAAAATGAAAAAGGAGGACTTAGAACAGTTGATTGTTAACAGAGACTCATGAAGCAGGTTAGGAGGAAGTAAACAGCATTCTGTACCATTTTACCATCAACAGCAATCCTGCTTTAATAGTTAACAAAACTCAAACTGAGAGACCAATAGGAGTGAGGCAAAAACAGAGATTCATATTAAAAAGAAAGTTGCTCTAAGTGGGAGTTAGGAACTAAGTAAAATAGGATATGAAATATTTCTGACACTCTGGTACCATGGTGATGAGCCTGATATAAATGACTACGGTAGAAAGACTGAACTAGAGGAAAAAAAGAAAAGTGAGGAGCTACTTGAAGTGTGAGTTGAAAACAAAACAACACTAGATTAGTTCTCAGTGAAGGGTTGGGAAAGTAAACAGCCAATCAATAGGACAAAAAAAAAAACCCACAATTATTTCTGAAGGCAATGGAAATCTTTCTCCTGGCTTTACTGGTAGCCAGAACAGATCTTTAGAAACCAGGTGGTATTAGGAAATATGCACATAGACAGAAGCCTGTACTTGTGAGGAAGACAGTTAGGTCCAGTCCATCTTTACTGCATTTGCCAAGCTGTAGCAGAGAGTTTCAAACACTAACACAGTTGGTTTCAAATACTAACATAGATCAGTGTTGGATCTTATTCTGAGACAAGTAGAATTTAGTCATGGCACATACGGATACAAACAACATAAGGAATTGCCGAATACAGGATAGATCCTGAACCGCACATTTAGAGCAGCGTTGGGTATATGGAATCTAGAGCAGCTGTTCTCAACTGTGGGTTGGGACCTCGAAACAGCTCACAACCGTGTTTTAACAGAGTAACTGGGGCTGGTTTAGAATTGCTGGGGCCAGGAGTCAAAGCCTGAGCCCCACCTCAGAGCCAAAGCCAAAGCTTTGGGGCTTCCACCCTTGGTGATAGGGCTCAGGTTGTAGGCTACCTGCCTAGGACTTGGGCTTTGTCCCATCCCACCACCCAAGCAGTGGAGCTCAGGCTTCAATCCCCCTTCCTAGGGCCACGTGTAACCCTTCTACTGGGTAGGTCCAGCAGCAGCCAGGGCCAGGTTCAATGTCTAGGGGTCCATCTCACACACAGAACAGGCTCGAGCCCCCACCCAGTAGCCTGGGAAATTCACACATCCCTGGGCACCTCTGAGAGGCAATGCTTCCCCACTCGCAAGCACAGAGTCTGAGTGTGGAAAATAAACTTCTAATGAAAGAAAGAGAGAAGTCACATGGCATTATCTTGGGAAAATACCGCAGAGTTCATAACCCCCCATGAGTAACCATCTGAGCTCAAAGGGATTGAGCAATGTCCTTTGCCCCTCAGGCTCACCAGTCCAACAAAGTAAGGGTTCCATTCACTTAAACTTCCTCTGTACCCCACTTCAAATGTCCCACTTACAGCTCTTGTCCAGTCAGTGTGGACCCTGACATATCACCCTGATGACTCCACTCATTGAGCCTGAGGCCATGCCAACTTTGAGCTGCTCCTGTGCTCCACTTGCTCCGCCAGCCACTGTGCCTACCAGCCGCTCGCCGGTCATTCCCGCCAGTTGCTCTGCTGGCTGCCTGCCGCTGCTCCTACCGGCCGCCCGCCGGTTGTTCCCACCAGCCGCTCCGCTGGCTGCAATGGGTCTGGCTCCAGGCCAAACCAGTGACTTCAGCTCTTAGTGATTTCAACTCTTTAGCCACCATCTAGGCTGGCAAGAGATTCCAGCTTCCACTGGACTAGCAAAAAGACTCCTGATGCAGTCTGCTTTAGGTCTATCCTCAGACCAAGGGGGGAAAAAGCAGGTTGAACCAGTCTTACAGCTCACACCTGGAAGGCATGATGCCAGCTGGGTCAAGCCCTTTCCCTCCAACCCCTTTCACTCAACTCTAGAATGGGGAGGCTTGTTCATCTGAGACCTCTTACACTGATGGTGTCTCTCCTGCAAGCACTAGTGTCATATTTTACAGTTCCCGCATTTAAGGGCAGCATGATTTGTGACCTCCACAACAGCCCAAATTAGTTATAATACATCACATTCCATTCTAACAACTGATCCTCCATCAGCCCTGGCTGAATTGGATTTACATAACCACACCTCGGATTCCTTTCCGATCTTGGCACGAGCTGTATTTACATATCTTACGGAGCTAACCCATTTGAGTGAGCATTCCCACCTCCAGGGCAGCTCTCTCCTTTTAGCTGGCTGATAGCAAGCAGTAGTTTGGCCTCTGCTTACACACGTAGTAATTTTTGTGGTTTGAAGGGTGTTGCAGTTCAATGAAGTTTGAGAACCCCTGAACTAGAGCCCGTCCAGCAACTTTTTCTGAAAAAAGTTTTTCAATTCCATAGATTAATTTACCCCTAGCTAATCTAAGTGTCTCAAGCTGTGGATGCAAAGCTGTCATACAGAAGTCAAGTTTAAACTGATGAGGCTTTAGGGAATCTTTACCGAAAGGGAACCAAACTGCTGGCAATCACAGAGAGGATTTTAGGGAATGCAAGATGAGGACCTGGCAGATCACTGAGGGCAAATAATGAATTTGGCTAGAGCCATCACAGCAAGTTAAATTATGTACACAGGAGTAGAAAATAACACAATTAGAGGCTATAGCTAAGGCAAAATGTAGGTTGGCAGAGATTCTAGAAAGAATTAAATATTCCTAAAAATAAGAGGAGGCTTTGTGGTTACACTTGGCAGGATAAAATAGTGAGAGCCATCATGCCTCATGGTCCATGCACAAACTGATCACCGGCTCGGAATTAGGTTGTGATCTCTTCCAATAATACTGCAAAATTAAATATATTACAGCATTTTTAGGCTTGTTGTCATCAGGCACTTTTACTGACAAAATACAGTATAATACCAAATGGACTATTGGACTGGGTTGGTCTATTCAGGCCTACAAGTTGTTTTTCAAAAATGTGTGAAAGACTTATGCTGTCTTAAAACAGCAAATTTAATGATAAAAAGAACTGAATTTTGGTTCCTACTTAAAAGCTTTCAAGAATTGGAATTTGTATATGGAAATATGCGCACAGTGAGTGACATATGGTGAAATTAGATTAATATAAATCCAGGATATGTACAATTGTACATCTGGTGACAAAACAGACACTACAAATATGAACTGGGGGTAGAAATGTCAAAGCAACAAATCTGAGGAAAAAATGTTGTTTAAACCTTTTTCAGTATGATAGCCTGTGAAAAAAGCCTGAGATACTCTCTGATGTACAAGGGAGTCATATATAAAACTGGGGAGGTTTCAAGCACCCCTGGAGGCCGGTCTTACATGACTGCACGTAGAAAACATTACAGTTCCATTCTTAAAGCCCTTTCCCTAAGGAACAACAATTTTATATTATTTATTTGTTTATCAGATGTTGGTGCTGATGATGTACTTGTTGGATAAGCTGACAAAAGTCCTATGCATCCCACCCCCCCCCAGCTCGAGAGGACAGCTGTCTAACCTCCTCACGTGTCCTCTCCCATGCTAACCCCATTGGCCTATCCACTTCAAATTCATTTTCCAGTTATTAGCACAGAGATTTTATACTTTCAGGGCTCATCAGTTCCCTATGTTATATCTAGAGAGCTGGTGGAAGCTGTTCTTTAAATCATGGTGAGTAGATGGATGAAATCTTCCACCACTGTGATGGGATAAGTGTTCTGGTAGCATCAACTTGAATTTTGGGTTTATTTATTTCTATGGTTTTTCACATGGAAAGAAGTCTGATCCAGTCACATATCTTGCAAGTCTAATTATTGTTGGGGAAGAAAGAGTTACTCACCTTATGCAGTAATGGTGGTTCTTCGAGATGTGTCCCCATGGGCGCTCCACTCTGGGTGCTTGTGCGCCCTTGCGCCGGCGACCAGATACTTTTCTAGCAGTTTCCACCACACCGCACACGCCCCATAGCGCCTCCTTATGTTGTTGGAATCTGTTAGGCGTGTGCACGGCGCAGCTCCTCCGTTCCTTCTCTACCCATTGGAGCATAAGGCTCCAAATCAGGGGAAGGAGGGAGGGTAGTGGAGCACCCACGGGGACACATCTTGAAGAACCACTGTTACTGCACAAGGTGAGTAACTCTTTCTTCTCCTTCGAGTGGTCCCCGTGGGTGCTCTACTCTGGGTGACTACAGAGCAGTTGTCGGCTCGTAGAGGTGGGTTTGGAGCTGTGTGGTAGTCACTCTGGATAGTACTGCTTGTCCCACCACCCCATTCGAGATGCAGTTGAAGAGAAGAGAGCGTAATGTTGCATGAATGTGTGGTCAGATGACCAGGTGGCAGCGTTGCAGATGTCTTGAAGAGGAACGTTGCTAAGGAAGGCAGTTGTGGAAGACATCGCTCTGGTGGAATGAGCTGTGATAGTTTCAGGTAAGTCTTTGTCATATAATGTATAACATGTTCGAATACAGGAGATGATCCATTTCAAAATCCTCCGAGATGAAACTGCTTGTCCTTTGGATCATTCAGTGTAGGACAAGAACAGCCTAGGGGAGACTCGCCAGGGTATGGTTCGGTCCACATAAAATGCCAGTGCTCTACGGACATCGAGAGTGTGCCATGCGGCCTGAACTGGATCGGCATGTGGTTTAGGAAAAAAGGCAGGTAAGTGTATGAGTTCATTGACGTGGAAGGGAGAAGGGACTTTGGGGAGGAACTTCAGGTGGGGTCGGAGTATCACTGTGTCCTTCATGAACACTGTGTATGGGGGTTTAGCCATCAAGGCAGCGAGTTTGCTCACCCTCCTACTGGAGGTTATCACGACCAGGAAGGACACCTTCATGGAAAGATGAGACCAACAACAGGTGGCTAGAGGCTCAAATGGTGGCTGTGTCAGTCTTTTTAGAATGTGGTTCAGATCCCAGACAGGGACCGGAGGGCGGATGGGTGGGAAAGTGTTTTGCAGGCCCTTAAGGAACCGTTTTGTTATCGGATTAGCAAGAAAGGAAACCAGATCAGAGGGATGATGAAAAGCTGCTATGGCAGCAGCATGGACCTTGATGGTGCTAAGAGTGAGGCCTGACTGTTTCAGGGATAATAAGTAATCCAACAAAATAGGGAGGGGAGTGGACTCTGGACGTGTTATGTGCAAATGATTAAACCAGTGAGAAAATCTATTCCATTTATATAGGTATGTTTTCCTGGTGGATTGTCTTCTACTGTTGATCAGTATCTCTTTCGCCGGCTCTGAACAGGTATTTTCAGCATCCTGGAGTCAGGCATGGAGATGAAGCTTGTAGAGTTCTGGATGGAGAGTCCTCCCATAATTCTGTGACAGGAGGTCATGATGGAGTGGCAAGGGATACAGGTCTATCATTGCCATCTTGTGAAGGTAAGGATACCATGTCTGTCTGGGCCACGCCGGAGCCACTAATATGACCCGAGCTTGGTCTGTCCTGATCTTGTTGAGGACTCTGTGTAGGAGGGGAAAGGAAGGGAAGGCATAGAGGAGAGGAGCGTCCCACCTGATGGAAAAGGCATCTCTGAGGGAGTGTTTCCCTAAGGCTGCTCTGGAGCAGTAGAGGTGGCACTTCCTGTTGTTTTTTGTGGCTAAAAGGTCTATGTCTGGTTGGCTCCACTGAGAGAACAGTGGAGCAAGAGCATGCCTGTCTATCTCCCATTTGTGTTGATCGTAGAATGTACAGCTAATGGCATCCGCTGTGACGTTGAGTACCCCAGGAAGGTAAGAAGCTATTGGGGTGACTTGATGTGCCAGACACCAGTTCCATAATTTGATGTCTTCCATGCAAAGGGATGGGGACCGTGCCCCCCCCCCCCATGCTGGTTGATGTAGTACATGCAGGTGGTGTTGTCTGTCATGATGGTAATGGACTTGTGAGCTATATACGGTTCAAAGTGTTGGCATGCATATCTGACGGCTCGTAATTCGAGGAGGTTGATATGAAAGGTTTGTTCCATGAAGAACCATTTGCCTTGGGGCTGTGATGTTCCCTAAATGGGCTCTCCAACCCATAAGTGAGGCATCTGTCATCACTGTGAGCATGGGGGGAGGACGCTGGAATGGTACGCTGTCTAGCATGTTTTGAAGAATTGTCCACCAATGAAGGGATGCATGGTGGAATAGACACTATTTTGGAGAGTTGGTCCCTGGAAGGCTTGTAGGTTGTGACCAACCATGACTGCAGCCCCTCATGAGGAGTCTGGCCAACTTGATGACATATGTTGTAGAGGCCATGTGTCCAAGGATTTTGAGGCATTCGTGTACCGTCAGGGTAGGAGCTGATTGCGCACTCATGATAAGGTCACGAATACTGTTGAATCTGTGTTCGGGCAGAATAGCTTTTGCTGCTACCGTGTCAATGAGGGCCCCTATAAACTCCAATTGGGTTGGAAGTAACATAGATTTTGCGAGGTTTATAGAAAAGCCCAGGTTGACCAGAAGGTACATAGTGGTGTCGGTCATGGCTTTGGTTTCCTGAAGGGACAAATCTTTTATGAGACAGTCATCCAAATATGGGAATATCATGACCCCTTGACGCTGAAGTGAGGCCATTACGACTGCCAGAGTTTTGGAAAACACCCTGGGGGCAGTTGAGAGGCCAAAGGGGAGCACTCAGTACTGGTAATGTTGGGTGCCCACCGTAAACTGTAAAAAACATCTGTGAGCAGGATTAATCGTGATGTGGAAGTAGGCATCCTGGAGGTTGAGAGCCGAAATCCAGTCCCCTTGATCCAATGCGGGGATGATTGTTGCTAAGGTCACCATCTTGAAACAGTGGTAGGCAATGTACTTGTTGAGTCTCCTCAAATCCAATATGGGTCGCCATCCTCCACTTTTTTTCTGGATTAGGAAGTAAGTTGAATAGAAGCCTCAACCTTGGAATTCTGGTGGCACTTGTTCTATGACACCCAGTTGTAGAAGGTGCGAAACTCTTGTTGGAGAAGGGTTTCGTGAGATGGGACCTTGAAGAGGGACGGGGTGGGAGGGTGGGTAGGAGGCAAGGAAGTGAAAGGGATGGCATAACCATATTGGATCAGTTCCAGGACCCATTTGTCTGATGTGATTTGGGTCCATTGATGGAAAAAGGCCCGGAGAGGGTGGTTGAATTGAGAAAGACTGGGCGCAAGTGTTGGAGGAGTGGCTTTCTGGATCTCGACATTTTTCAAATCTGTTGTTTGGTTGCAGGTGGGTGGGTTGCGGAGGACTGTTGTTGGTGTTGTCGTTGGGGTCTGCGACATTGGAGTCTTTGTTTCTGATGGAAGTCATATCTGGTCTGTTGTCCGAAGGGCTCCCTGGGCCTCTGGTAAGTTGAGTACCTTGTTCTTTTAAAGGGGGGAGTGTACATTCCCAAGGTTCTGGGGGTGGTACGGGAGTCTTCATAACATGTAACACTTGTCCGTCTTGGCTGTGAAGAGGTTGGTCTTGTCGAAGGGTAAGTCTTTGACTTCCTGCTGTAAGTCTCTCGGGACTCCTGATGCCTGAAGCCACGAGATCCTTCGGAGTACAACTGCGGATGCTGTAATACGAGCCACAGTGTCTGCTATATCCATCGTGGACTGAAGGGCAGTACAGGAGATGGTGTGACCCTCCTACATGATATTGAATAAAGTTGGTCTCTTGTGTTCTGGAAGGTGTTGAACCAGATCTTGCAGTTTGGAGTAGTTGGCATGGTTATAGTCCGCTAACATCACCGTGTAATTTGCCGCTCTAAGGAGCAAGGTGGCGGAAGAGTAGACCTTGTGGCCCATGATGTCGACTTTTTCATGGTCTCTGTCCTGTGGAGTGGTCCTGAGGTTAGGCTGTCTTCCCTTATGTCGAACAGAGTCCACAACTCATGAGTTTGGAGGGGGATGAGTGAAAAGAAAGACCATGTCCTTAGGGGCTATAAAGTATTTGTGGTCAGCCCTTTTGTTTGTTGGGGTAATGGATGCAGGAGTTTGCCAGATGTTATCCGCAGGGTCCATAATAGCCATGGGGTCCATGGGGACTGCTATTCGGAAGTAGTGAGAGGTTGTAGTGTGCGTAAAAGTTGATATTGCTTTACTTGCACCTCTTGAAGGTCTCGCTCCTGCACCAAGGCTACTCTTTTGAAAAGGTCTTGGAATTTTCTCGTGTGGTCGCTGGATGGTGGAGCTTTGGTTGTGACTGCCTCATCAGGAGATGATAAGGAATTGTGTAAGGGGGATCTATCCTCCACTTCTGGAAGAGAGTCCTGTATTTTGGAATGAGCTGGAGAATTTGGCTCAGTCACCGAAGTAGTGATAGGAGGCGAGGCCAGTGGTGGTCTATAGATGGTAGAAGGGGCAAGATGGTGGTTCTTCTTGGGATGTGGTTCCCATGGCTGCTACTGAGTGGTGTATGGTGGTGGTGGGTAAGCATACTGTTGTGCATACCACAGTGGTGGAGGAGGAGGGTCTGCATATTGTACCAGGTTGCCAAGAGGGAAGTCTGTGGGCAGTGTTGGGAAGAAAACCTACTCCTTGATTCCGTGCCCACCTTGCTGGGAGACCGAGAAACATTTGATGACCTACAGGACCGCACCGACTGTATGGAAGAACCTGGTGAAATCGGTGCCGTTGACGTGTGGTTTCGTACTGGGGATCGGTAACGCTCTTGTCTTTCCATTGGTGCCGAGGCGTGTGGCTTAGTCGGTGCCGGAGGCGGCACTGGTGCCAAGCGATCTGGTGGAGGCATGTCAGTGTGGGGCTTTTTTGGCACGGATACCAGTGCCGTTTTGGTATGGTGCTTCGGTGTCAAGTGGTCCTTATGTTGGCCTGCCAGTCCGTCCGGTGTGGCTGGTGCCATAGGTGTATCTGGTGCCGTAGTTGTGGGCGGTGCCGATGGTCTCTGTTTCGGCTCCTAGTGGGCTTTCTTGTGCGGTGCTGACATTATGGACGGTGCCGTACCAGATGTGCTAGGCCTATCCTCAGTGCTGACCCATGCGGCAGTCAGTGCCGAGGGTAGCGAACTGGCTGGGGAAAGACCAGTTTTCGATGTCGTGAGGTCAGAGTGGGTAGAGGGATAAGCCTTATCCATACCCTTACTTTGGAAGGCCAGTTTTGGAGCCGCGGCCAAGTCCTCTGACGATGGTCAAAGGGACTTCTCGTAGAGGAGTGTCTTAAGCCTATTAGCGCGATCACGGCGTGCTCTTGCCGTGAGTTTAGAATAGTGGGGGCACTTGTGTGTCTAATGTGACTCCCCCAGACACTTTATGCACTTGGAGTGCCCGTCAGAAACAGGCATAGCATCACGGCACATCTTGCACCTCTTAAAGCCAGGGGAACAGGCCATGAGGCATGCTGTAACAAAAAACTTTTTTTTTTCTTCAAACTTTTGACTAGGATGAAGAATGGGGTTGAAAGAACTTGGATGATGAGTTAACTGTAGGGATTAACATGGTTTTTTATCTATTATTTTCACAGAAGTCAAAGAGAAAAGAGAGGCTCCATCTGCTGCCGAGGACGGTAGAGAAGGAACTGAGGAGCCGCGCCATGCACGCACCTAACGGATTCCAATGACACAAGGGGGTGCTGCGGAGTGTGCACGGCACAGAAGAAACTGCTAGAAAAGTCTCCGGTCACCAACACAAGGACACACCAGCACCCAGAATGGTGCACCCACAGGGACCACTCAAAGGAGAAAGGATTTTCTCCTGCAAAGATCTCATGTGCCATTCCTCAAAAGCAGTTATGTCTGGGTCTCTCCAGTGCTCAAGTTCCCAGGTTTTTAATGTTTATCTGGCATGTCTTGAAGTTGGCCCTCCAGGTATCTTTATACATGAAAGATGGTCAACCTCAAAAGGGGATTTCCATGTTCACTTGGCAGTTGACCACCACTTTCAATATACAGGACCACATGTTCAACCCTATGAGCATGCTCTCAGTGCCAAGAATTTGGCATCTCTCCAGAACATCAGTGTTGGGGAGCCTGTCCTGCTACTTGATGTTGCAGATAGATCTTAGGCAGTAAAGATGCAAGTTCTCCATATAGGAGCAAGGTGAATATAGCAGTGTGATAGATTTTTATCTTGGTTCTGAGGCAGACCACACATCCTTCAGAGCCTGTGAGTGTGCCTGCTGAATGCTAAGCTGGCCTCTGCCAGGCAACAAAGCATTATAAGTATGCACATCATCCATTCTTTGAAAGGTGCCACTCCTGTTCTGGAATCATGTTTGTGACTAATGTCTCCAGACTCTGCAGTTACATAGTCCAGCAGGTGCCCCTGCTTTGACCTGGGATGCATGCATGTTTTCTTCTGTGCGCTGGGCTGTTGGAAGACTGTATTGTACTGTATAATGTAGGTTGTTAAGCTTTAGCTCATTTTAAACCATTATAAACGAGGTGAACAAATTCACTCTCACTTCAAGGACTGACCTGTATTCCTTACTGTGACTTGCCTCATTCAGTGGATCAATTCAAGCTAACTAGAGAATAGGTCTCTCTTTTTCTTATAATCTCCACCCAAATGACTCACCAGGCACATCTGGCCTTTTGAAGGAGTCCCTCTTTCTCTCTCTCTGTCTGGCAGGATCCTGCAACATTGCTATGCCTTTTGTCTAGAAAATGGGAGTGATTTTCTCTTTAAGAAAGGCACAGATCTCTACCACCACTATCAACATTAGTTACTTGTGCCATGCTGTGGAACTAGACACTGTTTTTGGGATTCAGACCCCGATTTCCTGCATTGCATTGTAAATACAACTACTGGTCCATCATGCTGACAAGTGTTACAGTGAAAGGAAGTTCTAAATGATAAATTTAGTATCTCTTACCTCTAGTGATTTTCATCATGGTACAGTATAATTTTTCCCATATGGGAAGAGTTATTAATAGGCACTCGAAGTATATGAACTATTCGGTATTCTCCAAGATGATCATTGTTTTCTAATGCTTCATGTATAGAGGAGTCAATCTACTTCAATATGTAGGCAGAAAGAAGGGGCTGAGTACTTCTTTGAAACTTTGTTACATAAGACTAGCAGATATTTATATCTAGTTATCTCCTTGATATTGAAGATGCTATCAGATTTAAGTATGTAGATTATTATAAGGAAAAACAAGAAGGGTTGTTGCTTCCTTGTTAACAACTATGCGTCTGTGCAGCCAGAACTTGATAGGTATTTTTCTGGATTTCTCATTTCCAGAGGGGTTGCGCTCTTCTTGTAGAATCTTACAAATACCCTTAATATATTGGTTGTTTAAAAATAAGTGTTTGGCCTTTATAAAAAAAGATGATCTTCAGTTACAGTTCTATTACAGTACAATCATATCACTGACCATGAAAAAAAATGTTTCTGGATTTTAATAGCTTTCACTTATTTTAATATGCTTAGTGGAAACCAAACTTCTAGAAAGAGAGGTCAGAATATTAGTACAGTTCACCAACAGACTTCCTGAGAGCTCATCAAAGCAACACAAGGCTATGCATGTGACTGTTTAGAAGCAATTATTCTTATTTGGAGCTGGTCTATATAATCTGTGGTTAACAATATTAGCTAACTTCTAAGATCTACATTTATGAGCTAGTCTTGATTTCTACTACATTTATATGGGGGGAGGGAGGTGCAGAAGTGATGGCTCACCAAATCTTTTCTCCTTAGTGATCACATAAGGCAAGATACCTCTGTAGCTCATAAGGATGAACTGGGAATTATGGTCAAGTAACTTGCCATCCTGCACATATATTCCTCAGCAAATGTGGTGTGTAAGTTAGGAGGCCATCCATTTGGTTCTTACGTTTGCTAGCAAGTACCAATAGATGGAAGATGCGAACAGTGGCTCCAATTCATAGTGTGTTGCTCAGTTCACTTTCCAAAAGATTGCCTTGCACTGATAGGACTCCTGCTGCACAGAATGCACTAGCTAACATCCATGCTTTCCTTCTTTACACCAGTCAAGCACTTGTGGATCACATTTCTTAATATTTATCACTCAGATAAATATTCTGACTGATAAAAATTCAGGCGTGATGCCCAAAAACACTACATAATCTTACGCTACGTCTACACTATAAGCCTCTTCCACAAGAGAAAATGCAAATGGAGTGCTCATTTGCATATGTTGTGCTCTCATTTGCATTTCCTCCTCTGATCCCTTTTCCACAAGAGGTTTTTGCGCAAAAAAGTGCTATGTAGACGGCTCCTTTTTGCGCAAAAAACCCTTTTGTGCAAGAGCCGTTATTCCTCAAAAAATGAAGAGGAATGTACACTATAAGCCTCTTCCACAAGAGAAAATGCAAATGGAGTGCTCATTTGCATATGTTGTGCTCTCATTTGCATTTCCTCCTCTGATCCCTTTTCCACAAGAGGTTTTTGCGCAAAAAAGTGCTATGTAGACGGCTCCTTTTTGCGCAAAAAACCCTTTTGTGCAAGAGCCGTTATTCCTCAAAAAATGAAGAGGAATG